TTAAGCAGTAGATTACCTCACCCAGTGATTCCGGCCATTCAACGTACCGAATTGGTTGTTGTTAAGAAAGAAGAAACTTTATTTAATAATTACGAAACAGCAGAGCCAGTAATTAAAATTACTGCATAGATGGAGATATTGTATTCAAATGATATATGTGTAATCTAATAAAAATTTATTTCAAATTCTACGCACATACAGTCATACCTGGGTTATATCCCTCTTTTTCTGGAGCATATAACTAAGTTAGGGATATAATTCAATATAGTGATGGTACCCGGTGTTACGCTTGAAAATGGAAAATGTTATTATTAGTTTTATTCTAGTTATTTTTTTTTGTATAAGCATCGTTATTCTTATTTTATTTTATTTGGTTAGTACATATTACATTATTATTCTATTTTAGGTATAGGGATGGGATCTATGAGGCACAGTTAGGTGTAAATAACCCCTAACGAGAGTTAATAACCCTCGGTAAGGGTTAAAAACCCTAGGTGAGGGAAGTTAACACTCAGAAAACGTTAAATGTCCACTGTAAGGGCAGAATAACCCCGTTATGAGTTAGAAAGTATATAAAGGAAAGGTATTTGATAAATAAAAGTTAATTAACGTTTTGTGCTTATTTGTTTATAAGTAAATTTGTTAAGCGCACTGTCCCCCTAACAAATGCATTAAACTGAAACGTTAATAAAGAAACTTCATTTGTACCAGAATAACGTTAGACCATTATATTTTAAATACTTATCTGAGACCTACTCGTAATTATCAATCCAAACGCTATAATCACGTGCTCAAGTTTGTTCGCGATCGAAGCTAAATTGGTTCAAGATTAGTAAAGCTCTCCCCCAGATCGTAACACCGGGTTGGTATCATCCGGGTTATCCGCAGATAATCGGATATCCGGGTTATGAACTCAGCTACCCGGATAAGCATACCCGGATAATACCCGGATAAGCATACCCGGATAAGCATACCTGGATAATACACAGGTAAACATACCCGAATTGAATTTCCGGGTTGAGTTATCAAAACTAAATTAAATAAGAGCCCAACTTATAGCTATATGGAAGATATGCAAACACCTAACTAATTGTTTGGCAATTTTTCGAATTGATAAGTCTAAATTTTTTATCAGCGATGTATTCAACCAGAGATATGTATGTACATAAGTACTGTGCATACTAAAGTTTCGTAACATTTCTGGATCTTAAATTACATATATCAAACTGAATGAATCTATTATACCGAATTATGAACTTAGCCGAATCAGCCGAAAGTCATTCGGCTAATTTTATTCGCTTTGCTAAAAATTTCTAGCGATGTATGTAGTCTCCCTATTTAAAAAAAAAGAAAAAATTATTACAAACTCAGCAATTCCTCTAAATTGAACGTTTTGAAGTATATAAATCCAAATTCAATGTACAAAATTAAAATCATAAACTTTGAAATGTTATTATAAGGTATAGTTCGAATCCATAGCATCGAAATGAGATCCGAATTGAAATCATGTCCCATTGAAAGAGAGAGTGTTGGGTACGAGAAGACAACATGAAAGACATGTCAAAGTAGCAGGAATTAAATAATGCAACTTGAAATGATATAGAATTTGATCTTTCTATAATGAATAAAACAATAGTAAGCTATAAGGTAAGCTATAAGTTGAACGGTTATAAATGTTTCAATTGCTTCCTTACCCATAATAATATTTTGATAAACCGATTTATTTGAAATAAAATGATTTGTACACTAATATAAGGCATTCTTAATCATCCCTCCTCAAAATAAGAAGGTACAACCCATCTCTCTTTACATTGATATCATACATATCATTTTATCGATAATTCTTAATATAAATCGAAATAGATTTCATGAGACGAGAATTTCCTGAACATTAAATCTATTCCTAACTGAAAAAATAGGATGATAGCAGAACAGTATGGTATGGTAACCAGAATTGTATGGTATAGAGTATATTTATTTTACAAACAGTACTATACTAATCTGCAAGCCAGGCTGTCAAGCTTTTTAGACTCTCTTCACTATGGTCTTGTCTGCTTGTCAGCTACATATCCTAATAATGTATGACGTCGAATAAATAGGCACTATACACAACGTACCATATGAGTGTGTGTCGTCAAAAAAAAACCAGTCTTTGGGTTTTCAAACTTATTATTTGTTATTTGCCGGATTTAACTCGATGACTACATACGTATGATGCATAATTAAATAATTTCACATCATGTGTCTCTAATCAGGCTAAGTCTGACAAATAATCAATAATAAATTTGTAAGCCCAAAACCTGGTTTCCTTTAACGTCACCCATATTGCTCTTGTCGTCCATACCATATTATCTTTGTAATTTAGAAAAAAAATTAGACAGTATTGTAGAGAATATGTACAGTCTCGATCTACAGTAGTGCTGCATGTGCAAAAGCATATCTGTACAATCTAATGCTTAAAATCAGAAAACCAATAAAGTAAATATCATTTTAGCACAGACTATCCTATAAAAGGATGTAACATGCATACTTTTTTTTTAATTTTGGCATTTCAGCTTTAGTGCACTAATGTTTAGTGTTGAGAGTTCTAAATTACTATAATGTTAAAACGTTAAAAGAAAACTATAGAAACTCAAACATTAAAAACAAACAAAAAAATGGATATGCATATATACTTATCTTTTTATAGAAGCAATCTGACCTACATTCAGCGTGATGCCAAAAATGGTAAAATGCAATTTACGATACCAGAATCGCTAAAATTCTTAACATAAAATTGATTACTAAATTAAGCAAAAGAAAATTATGAAACTTAAATTGTAATGATCAAAGGTCATCAAATTTACTAAAATCACGGATGCATGCAATAAAATTGCTAAAGCCCATAGAATTCACACAAATTAAGATAACTCAAGTAATAAATTAAATTGCAATGGGAAAACCTTATTTTTCTTTTATGAACTCTGGGTTTCAGCAATTTTGTTGTATGCTTTTGTGATTTTAGTAATCTAGAGGGTATTCTCATAAAATGCATATAATAAAATATTACTAAAGTGTATAAGATGTGTGCAAGAAAGATTGTTAAAGCCTATCAAATGCATGCAATAGAAGATAAAATGATATTTGTATAAATATTTTCATGGAAATGTTCATATGTAATTTATAAAAACAACTTTCTATAATAAAGTCACAAAATTTATATAAAAAGTCCTGGGTTTATTCTTTGTTGTATAAAACAAAAATTTTGATAATAAAACAATTAGGTTCTACTTATTATTAAATACTAAACAATAAAAAGCCTTATTCAAAATCAATTCTTTACACATAAGTCTAAATACAAAGATAATCCTAAATTAACCTTCTCTTTTACAGTTTTTAACAATTATGGATAGCAATAATGATTATAGCTTTGATAACATCCCTTGTACTAGCTTTTATACTGATTCTTATACTGACCTTTATGCTGACTCTTATTCTGACTCTTATGTTGATCCTTATGCTGACCCTTATGCTGACTCTAATGCCAATCCTTATACTGACCCTTATGCTGATTCTAATGCCGAACCTCAGAATAAAAACAATGAACTTTGTAGCACCACAGCCAGAAGTAAGACTAATGATAGAACTAAAGATGAAGAAAATATTAAAAAAATCTGTGTAAATATAACAGATCCAGTAATCAAGAAAGGCTGTGCAAAAAGCTATATATGGAATTATTTTCAAATAGAAAATGGTCGTATAGTATGTAGAATAATTGTATTTAAGAAAAGAAAGGAGGATATATGTAGAACAAGTTACAAATATAATACTGAAACTAAAAATATGAAGCTTCATTTTTGTGCAAGGTATGAAATCTTAAATCCAAATGATCTTAAACAAAATTCAAACCAAAATCAGTTATGTATTGACTAAATAGTTAGGAAAGTAACATCTTATAAAAAAAAATTTAAGCAATACTAAGGAGAGTTACTGCTAAATTGTTGATCACTGACTCTTTGCCCTTTACTACAGTTCATGGAGTAGGATATAGAAAAATGATTAGTAGAATTGACTCAGCATTTAAACCACCAAATCACAAAAGTATTAAAAAAAATCTCACTACTGCTAATCAAAAAAGTGTACAAGAATTGAAAAAATTACTTCATACTAGTTGCAAAACTGCTTCAATCACTACAGATCTATGGGCATCTCGAAACAATAATAAATATATCAGGTAGCTGTCTATTGTTTGACACAAGACTTCATGATCTGTAATGCTATATTAACTGTTAAAAAAATCAATTACCCACACACAAATAAAAGAATCAAAGAATATCTAGACAAAAAAATTAATGAATTTGGATTAGGTAAAAAAATAGTTTATACTGTAACAGACAATAGAGAAAATATGAAAAAGGCTATTAGGGTCTAGAATGGTGTGGAATGCATTCTTTGTTCAGTTCATACTCTTTAACTTACAGTTATCCAGATAGAAACATTAAGCTAGTTCAATTTTATTAAACTAGTTTTGTAGTTTAATATATTTAATTTATAATTAATTTTCAAATTTGGTTAAATAGTTTAATATCTTTATATCTAGGTCCTAAAAGTTGTAAAGCTATATACTTGAAAAATGAATAAACTGATCAAATTTTTTAAATTACAAAGCTGAGTCAATGCCTCAACCAGGCACAAATTGAATTAGCTCAACATAGTAAAACCATCCCAACTTCTATTCAATTATATAGTTCAGATAATTTGACTAAAAGCTTGCTACCTGAAATAGAAATTGATAACAATGATAAGTCAGAATTATTTGAAGCAACATCTAAAATTTTATGCACTATTAGTGATATAAAAACCTACTAGAACTTAACTTACAAGTCTTGACAAAAACTTTTAACACTGCATCTAGCAATTAAATAGCTTTCAGCTACTCTACATTTAGAAAATGAGAATGGTGTTAAAGAGGATTCTGATAAATTAAAACATCTTAAACTTAAAAATACTATTTGGATATTATTACAAAAATTAATAATTGTATTTAAATTATTTGATAAATTAACAACTTATCTTAGTGGAATTCGCTATACTACTCTTTGGTTGTTAATTCAACTATTAAAGTATTAAAAGCTAAATTCTTTGATAATGATATGTTTTTTTTTTAATGTTAAGGTGACTACTTTGGGGTCTAGCATGTTGTTATTAAACTTTGGATTGAATATCAGGGCAACTACATGGGCTACCTCTAACTTTGTAACATTAATGAAAATATATTCTAGCCATATATACAACTTTTGGTTGTCTATTTAAGCAGTCTTGCATATGTAACTCATATAAACTATACTAGATGCCATACCTGTAATCCACTATTACTTGAGTTACCCAATTAAACCTTCTGATCAACTTAGCACAGTTAGAATATTCTTTCTAAAGAGAAACTGCTATATAAACCAATTAGTACTTTAAAGCAGATATATACTACCATATAGAGGTTCTTTATCTTTGTAGTAAATCTACCAGAGCAGTCCATATCCCACATATATATCATCTAAATTTTCTGTAACTTATGCCTAGACCGCAGCTAAATACTAATGGCTTTTTATCTCTGCTACTATTATCTACTCTATGCTCTTACAAAGTTCACCCAAACTTCAGTACCCACTTTACAACTATCAACAGTACTTTGATAGCAACTGTGATGCCCTAAACTTCCAATACAAATAGCCTAGAAGAGACCAGTAGGCATCACCTGGTATTCTGAATAAATCTTTTTTCCTTCAGCTAATCTGGCAGCCTGGTTGGTGTAGTGTTTGCCAAACACTCAATCTTCATTCAGTTTGCCTTTGATGTTCAGTTTCCTAGATGATAATCCTTTATGTAGCACTATCAAAGATCTGTGCTATCTCTCTACTTGATCTGTGCTACCTCTCTACTCAGAAGTTTTCAAGCAGACTTCTGTATCCCCAATCCCTTAAATTTATTTGGCTGCTTCATTAGGCTTTGTATAACTTATACATTACACTATATTCTACAACCTCCCAATACGAGTTAGTGAAACCAAGGTTACAGATGCTGATCTAATAAACATGTTATACTGTTTTACTATAACGCATTTTTACAAATTTGAATTTTTATCGTTAGTAGAATTCAAACTTTTGTACTGCCACTTAAGTGTGCGACAACTTACCCTTTTGATGATAATATGTCTGTATCAGATGAACTTGAAGATATTAATGAAAGTGCATCTAAAGTTAAATAAAAATTTCTTAATTAATCTTTAGATACTACTATTAGCACTATATTTTTTATTATTAAATTATCCAATTAAGTTATTGTTTGAAGTAAAATCAATAGTGCAAATAGAAGTACCTTTTATAGAGTTGCTAATATAGTCATAATTTTAATAGTGCACAATGGTGTAATATTAATAAAATTTAATAGCACACCATTAAAATTATATCTGCACTAGCAACCCTAATACTTTAACTTATCATTATTATTTAAAATGCTAAATATCAAATTCTTAATACTTAAGATGAAATATTATCTTCTGATAATGAATTTAGTGATAAAAATTAGAAGATATAACTAACCTTAAAAAGCTACTTTCAAATGAAAAATAATTTTAGAAGTTCACAATTCTCTTGAATGTTATTGAAATAATCCTAAACATATTGGATTAATCGCTGCCTTGTTAAATCTGAGATTAAAATTGATAACAATGTAGTCAAATAAAATATGAACTAAAACAATTAAGAAGCTATGTACTGAATTTAAGACTTGGCAAAATATGATTGCAGCTAACAAACCAGTTGAAGTTGCTAGAACAGTAGCATCTTCTTTATCTACACTTACAATTATAAAAAAATATTTAGTTATAGTTAAACCCAGATAAACCGTGAAATTAATATTGATAATAATTTTTTTTTTTTAATCTTCAAAGGTAAAGCCATGCCTCTATCTTTATTAAAATTCAATTAGACTTCTTTACAAAAAAGAAATTACATTATTTGAACTCTATATCCAAAGGATACTAAGATTAGAGATTCAGACAGAGTTCACATTAGAGTTATCTGCGATCTAAACCTAATATTGATAATTATTTAAATGAATTGATTATACTAATTAAACCTGAATCTATTGATGTTTATGACTGGTAGAATACTAACCAGAGTACCTTTCCAATATTAAGTAGGGGTGGTATGAAAATTTTTGTTGATTCTAGCCACTTCTGTTCTATATGAGTGTTTTTTTCAGACGCAGAAAATCAAATTACTTATAAAAACCTGTTTATCTTCTGAAGTAGTTAATGAATTATTATTTGTTAAAAGAAATAGATTATATTATAAAAAGGCTTGGAAATAGTAATTTATTTTAGACTAATTCTATCAAAAATTTAAAAATAATAGAGTAATATTAAATTAAAAAGCAATGTTTAATATTAATAAAAGTGTTTTATAAATTTATTTTAGTAAAATAAATTTATAACAAGATAAGGAACTCCTTTAGTATAGGTGGGCATAGTGGGCATATATAAATTATTACAAAATTATAATATAAAAAACCTAACTAATTTGAGCCAATTTATATTTAACTCTAATCCTAACCCTAACAATCTATAAAATGGCTTAAATTAGTTTAAAATAGTTTATTTATATATATTATAATCACCCGCCTTCAAAATACTTGCAAAAGAATCGGTATCCCTCCTTCAGGAATTAACCTAATTACTGAACTACACACCTCTAGACAAGCAAGAATTATCACAGCTTATGGCCTTACCTCTCCAGTTAATATCCAATCAGGAATCGAACAAGGAGAAACCTACTCACCACTACTCTGGAAAATTTACTATGATCCTATACTTTCTTTCATCTATCAAAAATACCAACATCAGATGCTTAAGATTGCCTCACGTGTCTACTGGCGCGACTACATGCCTTGAGTAACATTCACATGATTAAGCCACTGAGCCAATCCATCATTACCATTTTAGTATAAGTTATGAAATAATCAAAAGAAATTAATAGATATACTAAATTGGACATTGTTACCAAAATGGATGGGGAAATTATTAATAATCTATGTACATGCGGTATTTTACCGAGAAAATAAAGGGATTATTTACAATAATAAAAGAATAAAATTTTAATTCGTTACAATATACCGAACCTCTATATAACGAACTCTGGATATAACGAACTCGAAATTTAAAGTTTTTATAATAGCTCGGTATAGAAAGTGCAATGTGTACTTAAGAAAGCATAGTAATTTTCTATAACGAACCTTGTTTTCTTCCAGAACCGTTAGTTCGTTATAGAAAGAGTTGACTGCATTTCATGAATGCTGATCCGTTTACAATGATTTTTGTTTTAAATGAATGCTAAGAACGTTAGCATTCATTTTAAAAATTCTCAAAAAGAGCATCACTGATTGATCATCCACTAATATTTCGTGTAAGGCTGATCCCTGTTTGATGATTTTGAACTTAAAATGAATCATATTATTTTAGCATTCGTTTAAACCAAATTTAAGAATAATTTGGCAATTCAGAAAATTCGGAAAAAATCTGTTGCCTATTTATTTTTTCGGATCATTTATTTTTTCGGATCCTTTTTGCAGTCACTGTATTCTCTCATTTTCGGAAAATACGGAAACAATTTGTTGCATATTATTTTTCCGGATCCAATTTACGGTCACTGTATTTCTCCTCCCATTTTCATTGATATAAGGAAAATATGTAAAATATTTTTTGCATATTATTTCTCCAAATCCTTTTTACGTTCACTGTATTTCTCCCATTTTCGATAATATAAGGAAAATACGAAAAAATTTGTTGCACATTATTTTTCCGGATCCTTTTTGCGGTCAATGTATTTCCCCTCCCATTTTCGATAATATAATGTCTATCATTTATGACCGTAAATTAGCTTATTATTGTCGTGACTGAAGTTGGCATCTGCCTGAAGTTGGCACCTGCCTAAAACAGCTAACTAATGCGTGCAGGATGATCTAATTTCAGGGACTAATTTCAGTCAGGCGCAACTTCAGGCAGCCGAAGTTCCAACTTTAGTCGGATGCCAACTTTAGTCACGACTTTTGTCATAATAATAAGAACTATTAACAATTTGTATGGCTTGGCTTGGCTCCTAAAATCGATGGTTCCAGCTTGAGCCATGGATGTTGAAGCCACAGCTTGAGTAATTGATCCAATGGTTATTGCTGGAAACGTGGCACCTGATTCCCATTTAACATCTGAATCCGATCACTATATATAACTATTTCGCATCAGAATAATCCAAAATTGCTAAATCAGGCCTATATACATCCGTCTCTGGTTTACCTATTTGCCAGATTTAGCTTTAATTAGTGATATATGTAAATTTAATTCATATTATGTATATTTCAGATCACGTTAAGAGGTTTTTCCTTGGGCATTCATAACACAATTCAAACTTTTCCATAATTCCTAAGTATAGTAGGAAGATGTCTTTTATTGATGTTTTAGACGCAGAGCCCGCAATTCATTTAACGAAGGTCCTTGCACTACTATAACCATACATCTGTGGAGCCTAACTGGTAAAATTCTTGCACTGCTATTACGGCTTCGGAGTCCAATTGCTACAAAAACAAGGTCATTGCACCACTACCATAGGCGTGAAGCCTAATTACTAAGATCTTTGCACTACTATCGCAGCCACGGAGCCTAATTATTATGAAACAAAGTCCTTGCACCCCTATAAAAAATTTTGCCGGCAATGTTCCAAAAATTTTCTAAAGTTATTCAAAAAAATGCTCGGAATGGAGTCAACTTTCCTAACATATACTGATTTTGTACAACCTTTGTGCCTAATGTTGTCAACCCAAAAATTTTTTTATATCACGGTATAATGATAAAGATTGTACAATATTGTACCGGTATTCAGAAAATCGACTCCATTCCGAACAGTTTTTTGGACAATGCCTACAATCATAACTGTATAAACTTTTTTATAGGGCACGGCCACTGCAGCCTGTGAAGCCAACGAGGGTCTTGCAGTCGCGAAGCCTGACCTTACCAATATACTTTGCCTAAAAAATCTGTCGCCAAGTAACTGTGTCATCTCACTGACAACTAATTTATAGACAAACTCATTTCACGGATAATTAATTCACAGATAATGATAAGCATTATACAGACAGTTTTTTTTCACCGACTGCTTATTTTACTGACAAGTTTTTCTTATAATTTGTACTACATTAACTATAATTCTAAATATGATCCTAACAGCAATGATCAAATTAACTTTGTTGGTGAAATGAAATGAACTTGTTTGTAAATTAATTGTCAGTGAAATATGAAATCCGCTGTCAAGAATTAAACTTATTGCCGAGTGCTGCAAATTGGGCATTGTGGAGAAATGATAGAGCCAGCCTCTTTGCAAGACAAGCAATAACGTAGAAAAAATTAATATCTCTACCAAAAAAGCAATCTTAAATACACTACATTTACAAACATATTTTACTCCCTACTGATTTCATACTTGACATAAGATAATACCATTCGCTATTACTAATTAACAATCATATACGATCATAATCCTAACCAAAAAAACCCCATATCTAATGAAACAATACAGAGCCATTACAAAAAAAACACTCCATAATAGCTTTAGACAACATCTATAAAAAGCTAAAGCAACATATTAGTACGTAGTCATACTGATACATGAGAATCGAGAACATTTATCTCCATTAGTGCCATGAAAAAATTGCGATCTTTACAACTGTACAATCCAATCAACTTTAAGATTTTGCTTTGGCTTGCTCATCAATAAGCTATATACTTTGTTTCACTATGTTCTATGTACACAAAAATTTGTGGGACACTTGAAGAACAGTTAACTCAGTGATCGACATAAACAATCATGACATCATCTGTTTACCAGAATTAAACAGGCTGGCCTAAACTATAACTCTAAACTAACCCTAACCTAGGCCAAATGATTATCATGTGATATTATGATGATCACTGAGTTAACTATTCTTCAATCTACCCAAATTTGTTTACAATAACAACTTTTGACCTCTAAATAAAAAGTTTTTAGCATGATATTTCAGCCATAGAACAAACTTTTAATGTTAAAAATAGAGAAATTTGAAATGTCATGGACCCATATTTTTTTGGTACCCAATCATATTATACTCAACATATATGCACTATGAAATAATTATGCATAGATTTTGAAATCAGTTTTATTTTTTATATGTATAACTAATTAAACCGGTTTTAATATATGAAAAATAAAACTGGTTCTAAACTCTAATAACATGATGTTATCATGTACACTACAATCTTACTCCTACTTAATTGGATAAATAAAAACTATTAATTATACTAAAAAAGTATTTTCAAAAAAGCAGCATAGTAAAAGTCAAAAAAAGTCAAACTGAACCATCCCTTCCCTCTCACATTTCATTTGACATATTCATGTGTCATATTGGTATTAAAATAATATCAACAAATGTAAAGTTTATATAAAGTAATACAGTTTTATACTAAAATTAGAAATGAAGAATTCAAATATGA